GGGCGCTCTCCCGGGCCCCGCGGCGGGGAGGGAGCCGGCCCGGGGGCAGGGTTTCTCCCAGTGCCTGGAGCCGTTTAGTGCGTTTTACGTCTTGTTCTTGTGGCCTGAGCCGCGAGGGGGGCGCGTCCCGGCCCTGCGTTCGTTCCCCAAGGTCCTTGGCCCCACCACAGCTGCACGTTCGGGAGAAGTAAAGGCCGCGCTCCGAGGGGTCGTGAAACGGGGGGGACACGGGTGTTTTGGGCAACGGGAAGGGCCCCAATGCACCAGGCCGGGGCGTCCCTCTGGGCCTGGGCAAAACCGGCTATTTTTGGCAATGGGAAGGGCCCAGCGCCCTGAGTCTGGGTGGTCCTCTGGGCCTGGGCAAAACCAGCTGTTTTGGGCCACGGGAAGGGCCCAACACGCCAGGCCGGGGTGCCCCGTGTGCAGGCCTTGCTCTGTCCTCCCTGGGTGCCGAAGGGTTCGCTATCCAGGCCAGTCCCTGCTTTCCGGACCCCCTCACATCTACTGCCGCTCTGCTTGTCGTTCCTTGGATCGCTTCAGCGCGATAACGTCACTGAGCTATCCCTAAACTGCCTCATGGACAGGCCTGGCTCCCCCTGTGCGAACACGACGTTTCTGTGCGAGTCGCGCTCTTCTCAGCGGGGTTCGGATCGGTGCCCGATGCCAACTGTGTCCCAAATGCGTCGCAATCCATGGAAATCCCAAGCCTGTGGCGGCTGGGGAAGGGGATCTTGCACCCAGGTGGCAGGTTGCAGAGGATAAGAATAGTGTCTCCAGGCTCTTTATGTTCTCAACAAGTAACTTATTTTTTTTTAATAGAAAAGACTGTGTCCGTTCAGCTCATTTTCAGAAGAGAGTTGTTAGGGGTTTCGATGAGGCCATGGGTTGGTATAATCCACAAAGTAACCCTCAGAAAATCGGTGTGTTGTAATGGCAGCACAGTCAGTAACGTGATTTTTCTTGAAATACGTAACTTTATGTGTTTTCCTCACAAGTGGCACGCTTCACTTCTGAGCTGAAGCACCAGCTGGTCACTGGAATTTTCCTCCTCACAGGCACATTCAGGAATTAGAAGGCCTTGGACTCTTCTTTCACATAAATTATGGCAATACCAACTTGGAAAGACACAGTTGACTTGATGTGGTCAGTTTGCAACGTCTTGGGCAGTCAAATAGACTGATTTTTCAAGAGAGGATTTTCAGTAGTGAGAGCGCTCTGGCACTCGCTGCTTTTGTGTCTGCTGCTTTACATAAAGGCTCTAGTTTTGGCCCATTTAGAGCTTGGAAGCAGAGCTGATAAAGGAGACGGTATTTGTTGCTGACGTTATATTTAATATTGGTGTGGAGGATTCGGAGTTAGCATAAGTATTTTTTATGTGAAGCAGATATTTAAGCAACTCTCGCTATACAAAGCCTAAGTTATTAATAAATTTCATTATACGAAAAAAAATTACTCCAGCACATCATGGATTGCTTGCCAAGACTCAATGATGACGATTAGTTGACAGTCACCTTCCGCTTTTAAAGGTTGCTTTACTACCATAAGATACTCTTGACTTATTTGTGTAGAATTAAACCTCGTGTTTTCAAGTTGTTGTGGAAGTTTTGGTGCTTTCGTGTTTCTCTAGCCTGTGGGTTTCACACGTTGCTCAGCTTGACCTGTGCAGTGGAACAGAGGAGCTGCCAAGGTCTTCCATGCTGTATTATTTCTGGCTTTTTTTTCTGTGGGAGCAAAGAAACCCAGTGGTTTCAGTGGTTTGTTCCGTTTCAGTAACGTTCTCCCTTAGGAAAGAAGTGGTGATTTAAAACGGAGCAAGGGAAGGTGCCTGGGCATAAATAGGCCACATCGAGGTGAGTGGGGAATGGTGCCTCCTCTCCTCTGCCCGATGAGCGTAGCTGCCAGGGCAGGATGCTAAAACCTTGAGAAATCTCCATTCAGCCTCCCCTCCAGAGGGGAAAGAAAGGGGCCCGTTACTGAAGATGAGAGGTCTGTATTGAGGAGGAAAGGTTGGCGAAGCTGAGTACTTGCCCCTTTGTGTCACTGAATAAAAGTTGCTGTCATGTGGAAAAGTGAAAGGATTCAATATAGTCACTTTATGGGCAGGTGTCCGCATTACTTAGAGTGATCACAGTAAAACCCCCAGAGTCAGAGCTGTGTTCCTGCTTCCCTTGGGGTTTCCCTTGCAGTGGGATGTGGTGGGAAGCTCCGTCTTCCGCAGGCGATGCCTTTAGTGCCCCTTTTCTGCATGTAAATAGATGTCCCCCACCTTGGCTAGGAAGCCTCCCTGAAAAGCCTGTATTGGTTAATTATTTTGCCTTATAATTTTTGCTTAATGCTTTTGCTTAATGATTTACTTAAATTCCGACTCACTCCACAGTTTGTGTTAGTTTCTGTGAGGGGAATAGCAAAATGATGCAGGTTTCAGAGGCTGAAAGTCTCTGTATTATTCACTGTAACCTGCCTTGTGGGTGTTTTTCTCTGCTGTGGTTTATGCCTTACCACTTGCTTGTTGGTATGTTGTGTATTTGTTGTTACTACCCAATTACTGGCTGGTTTGATCCGCTGGTTTTGCAAATAGCATAAACTTTAGTTGTCAATGTGCCGTGGTGGGACACGAATGCCTGTAATCCCAGCCCTGGCAAATGCCATCTAGAAAAACTGTGCAAACTTCACAGATGAATTTAGAGCAACCCAAAGATCCCTGACTACCGGGAGAGCCGTTGCTTAAGGACACTGACCTGTTGACAGTGTAAATAACAAATACTTGCAAGCACCAAAATTATTTCCTTAAACTTCCTATGTGGAGGGTGAGTCAGGTGCCTAGATCTACCTGCTGCCAGAGGGGTCGGCCCTGAGGATGTGGGAGATGGACCCAGGGCAGAGACTCCTGTTCTGGTCTGGAAATACTGTTTTCTTCTCCAGTTGTGGATTTGGAAAGGGTGATTTTGACGCTCTTACTTGTGTACGTTGTAGACATATCATGTTCCACTCTTTCATCTAATTGCCGTGTCTTCTGTTCTCTTATCGCAGCGAATCTGAAATCCTGCACCACGACAAACAATACGAGCCCTTTTACTCTTCCTTCGTTGCCCTTTCTACGCATTACATCACGACTGTGTGCGGTCTCAGTAAGTGCTCACCCTGCCTTGATTTCTTTTGGCCCTGTCTCGTGACGAGGGTATAAGTTCACTGGAATTGTTTCCCTGTCTCAGATTCTGTTTCTGTGTCAGATGCTAATGCAACTGCATCAGCCTGGTGCTGTGGGCTTTTGTTCTGGCAGAATGTGTATTCAGGTGGAAAGGGACGTTCATGGACATCAGTGTTGGGCCTCAAATAGTTGGTGTTTCATTTGTTGGCCTGACTTCACTTATTTTTGGTCAAATGAAGCACTTGAATGCATTTTCAGTACTTTAAAATCCTTCATTAGCACACCAAATTAAAGTTATTTTACCACATTAGACTTAATGATCAAAACATTTCGATTAAAAAAGTTTTAGGTTATTTTATCCAGATAAACTTGATAATTTCTGTGAAAGAGCTGATCTGTTTCGTGTTCTTCTGTGTTTTCTTGTGAGTTTGGTATTAAGTCATAAATGTTCCTAGAGAAACCATTGCATCTATTTTGCTTTACTCTCTGCCTCCGTGCAGTAGATATTGCTTTTATGTTACAGATGTTTCTTTTGTTTTGTTTCTTTTGGGACTGATTTATGAGACTGAATTTATATTGTACCTGCGTCTTATGCGTGATAGGTTGTGTGTGCCCGTGTATGCTATAGCATTCTGTTATACTGAAAGCATGAAGAATTTATTACTTACTATTTAAAAACTCCTGCTGACTGATTCAAGCATCTGCTTTTTTTGCAGTACCAAGAAACCAGCTGCAGTCAGTGGCAGCTGCGTGTAAAGTTCTCATTGAATTCTCCCTGCTGCGGCTCGAGAACCCGGACGAAGCATGTGCTGTTTCGCAGGTGAGCACAGATCTTGTCTGTGTGAGCAAAAAGCCCCTTATCGCTGCGTATTTGCCTCTGTGTTGGATAAAGCAAAACTACAGAAGTTCTAAAAACTGGTGATCTGGCACTTTGGTAGGTGCTGCCTCTTCCCTGCTCGCTCTCTCCTCAGAATTTCAGCTTGCAAGTACTGAAATCAGTGTGGCCTGAAGCTTAAACAAACTGCTTCAGTAACCTCGCCTGATTCAAGAGTTTCTGATGCCATTTCCTGTAGTCTGTTTTGTTTTTATGTGGCAGCGTTGGGCAGAGCTTATTGCCAGGCCTTCAGTCTTTCAGGACTGGTTCTTCTCCAGCTGTATTTTAGTCTTCTCAAAAGAGCTTCAATCTAAAAAGACCTTAAGGGGAGAAGCGTGTTACGTTGTTAATTAAATCTCTTTAGACACTGTAGCTTCTGATAGGCCCTGCTTTAGGCCTGGGTAAGAAAGAGCTTTTTCAGGCGCTGTTCCATGGGACAGCGTTAGCTGAGTCAGCTGCAATCACTAAGCCTTCATGGTCAGTTTTACTTGATGTCTGTCTCTGCAGAAACACCTGATTCTGTTGATAAAGGGGTTGTGCACAGGCTGCAGCCGTCTGGATCGGACCGAAATCATTACTTTCACAGCAATGATGAAATCAGCCAAGCTGCCTCAGACCGTCAAAACCCTCTCTGATGGTAGGTGTTTCCATTTGTGATTATTTCGTTGTGGCAATGGGGTTAAACGTAGAAAGTAACGAGGATGAAACGATGTTTTGCTGCTTCCCCTGCAGTAGAGGACCAGAAGGAGCTGGCCTCGCCGGTGAGCCCGGAGCTAAGACAGAAGGAAGTGCAGATGAACTTCCTGAATCAGCTGACATCAGTGTTTAATCCCAGAGTGTCGTCGTCGTCGTCAGCCACGCCGGAGACACAGGTGAACAAATAGCCCTGGAACAGAACAAACAGCTCTGTTTTTTAGTGTTAATAATGCTTACACAGAGAAGGACAGTGGGCAGTAGGTGGTGCTTTTTTAATACATGTGTATAAGTAAAACCTGTCTTTACTGCTTAAATCTACTTGCCTGTTGAGGAACGAAGTAGCAGACAATGCAATATGCATTGTACTGGTGATGGTTGTTCTAATGGCTGATATTCAGTGACAGTTGTAGCTCTTGGGTTGTACTGCTGCCGGTCCTCTCTCCTGCACAGAGACTCAGTGCAATCCTATATACTTTAAATGCTTCCATGGTGTACTTAGTACGTGCTTGTCTTTAGGTGGAAGGAGAAAATGAAGACCAGGCTTCCACTGATCAAACCTCTGCTGCAAAGACAAAAAGCATCTTCATTGCTCAGAACGTAGCCAGCCTGCAAGAACTTGGTGAGAATCAGATAGATTAAGGGGAAAAAAGTGCTAGAGGAAACATCAGCCCTGACTTTGAGCAGGAGGAAAGTGTCTGACCTGAAGTGGTTGCTCAGTCATCATGTTGTATGCGGTCACTGCCAAGGGAGGTGTGACTTTAACGTGGCCTCATCTTCATCGCAGAAGAAACGAGCGCAATATATTTATATACAGTAGCTGTGTTCTGAGAGGGAAAATGTGGACAGTATTAAGCAGCATTACGGGATGGGTTAATGAGCAAATGCAGGAGGAAGGGGGAGCTTGCTGCTGAAATCAGAGCTGCTGTGCCCTGCAGTACACACACAGAGCCTCCTGACACCGTTACTGTTGGGCTGAAAGCGTCGCTCTGGTTGTGCCCTGTGAACTAGGTTTGGCTCTTTATCCTGTTACCTCATCTGTGATGGTATTTTCTCACCACAAGGTATAATTAAGTGAATTATTAGTGAAGGTTGGGTGAAACAGATGGTAGACGTGAAACAACGGGAGAAAGCCTGGGCTTATTGAAGTTAGCCTGCGGCTCATCTGTTCGAGCTAAAAGCTCTCCCATGGAGCAGCAAAAGTAGCACCCTATTGTTTTTGTTTGGTAGGTGGCTCTGAAAAGCTTCTGAGAGTGTGCCTAAACCTGCCGTACTTCCTGCGATACATCAATCGCTTCCAAGATGCCGTGTCGGCCAACTCGTTTTTCATTATGCCAGCCACGGTGGCAGATGCCACCGCCGTTCGCAACGGGTAAGGTTCTGCAGTCGCTGTTCTCTGGGGTCAGGACAGAAGTGGACCAGCGATGCAGTCTCAGTTGCTGTGCAGCTCCTGGGAGCTGGGGGTGCAGAAGCCCTTTTCCGAGCGTACGTTGCGTTTCTGAACTTTCCCGTGGGTTGTTACTGTAGATTTCATTCGCTGGTGATAGATGTGACCATGGCACTGGATACCCTGTCTCTGCCTGTACTGGAGCCCCTGACACCCACACGTCTCCAAGATGTGACTGTTCTTGCTCTTAGCTGTCTCTATGCAGGTGAGTGCATTTTCCTTCTTGTCTCCAGAGCTTTAAGCAGCTCTTGCTTCTTCTCTGCTTTGTTACCTATATATTTAAAGGGTTTACCCACAAATACCCTTTATTTTCCAAGGGACTTGAAAGCTGACTGTATAGTGTGAGACAATTTGAAAATTGTTCTAGTGACACTGATAACCTAATATATTCTATAAAGATTCTGTCAACATTTGAGAGAAAAAAAGTTCAGTGATTCATCACCACCTTATCAGCCTGTGACTGCCACTTTGGTGTGATGTTCAGAGCATAATATGCTTTTGTGATGCTTATAACTTTAGCTTAATTAGTTTTAGCCCCAAAACCAACCTGTTTCCCAGAAGCGGGAAACCTTAATAATTCTGTGAGTGCTTTAAGTTCTCTGGGATCTGAAGTGTCTAATTGGTACAGGTAAGGCTTTAAAGAGATACAGCAATTGAGTATGAATATTGCCCTAAACTGGTGTGGATTTATAGTGAAACATTTGCTTGTTCCATTGTTGTATTTTATTTATTGGACAAAACTTTACTCTTTTGGGTGTGCTTTGGAAAGATTTTTCTAGTCTGTCAGTTGTAATACTGAGTATTCTCAACTCCCCTAGGTTTATGTACATGTTTAATACTGCGGGTTCTAGTGTACTAAATAAGAACGCGTAGTCCCACGTTCATTTCTTAATTAGAATGTTGCCTTCACTTACCCACTGTCAGGTGTGAGCGTGGCAACCTGCATGGCCATCCTGCACGTGGGTAGCACTCAGCAGGTACGAACTGGGTCAACAAGTTCCAAAGAGGAAGATTATGAAAATGATGCTGCCACTATTGTACAGAAATGTGTAAGTAGGCGAGGAAGAGAATGTTGTCTTTCATTCTTGACATGTGAAATGTCTAGAATTTGTGTTTATTTGGACTGCTGTCCATCTCTGTTGCTGCTAGGCATTAGGCTTGCTGATATATCAATGGCGTTGTTAACTGTAGAGGGCGAAATAAATTCTTCCTTGAGACACTGGGGTTTTAAAAGTGCTTGGAGTGGTTTACTTACTGCCCAGTAGAGTTCTTAAACATTCTTAAGTTTCAAGTTCTTAAGTCAAGTTCTTAACCAGAGGTTTTTAATTTATTTGCAGCTTGAAATCTATGAAATGATTGGACAAGCCATCAGCAATTCACGCCGTGCAGGCGGTGAGGTAAGATTGCTTTCTTCAGGAAGCTTTTTCACTGTTTTTGTGCTGGTGTATTTTGGCAGTTCGATTTATACTTACTTTTTTTTTTTTTCTCCTCTCCTTTTTCCCCCTGTGGGATGATAGCATTATCAGAACTTCCAGCTGCTTGGGGCTTGGTGTTTGCTAAACAGCCTCTTCCTCATCTTGAACCTCAGCCCCACGGCCTTGGCTGATAAGGGAAAGGAGAAAGATCCACTGGCAGCTTTACGTGTCAGAGACATTATTGCTCGCACTAAGGAGGGAGTTGGGTCTCCCAAACTAGGACCTGGGAAAGGGTATGTTGGTATCTCTGTGAGGAAATCATTTCCCATGTTTGTAAGGAGGCACAGCAGGCAAGTGCTTCAGAGTCTTGCTATAATTTTTTTCTCTGCATTTGTAATTCAAATCTTGATTCTTTATTGCCCTGTTCTTTTTCAGTTTAGCAAAGCACCTCCTTAGTCTGTTTGCTCAATTTAGTCTTCTTTGAGATTACATTTTTTCTTTTATTTTTCTGTAGACATCAAGGGTTTGGTGTTCTCTCAGTGGTGCTAGCAAATCATGCCATCAAACTGTTATCATCACTCTTTCAGGATCTGCAAGTGGAGGCATTACACAAGGTGTGTAGGCAGTATATATGTTCTTGTGAAATGCTGCTTTCTGCACTGATACACACTTTACATTCCCTTTCAATGCTGTCGTGCAGGGCTGGGAGAGTGACGGTCCCCCCGCAGTGCTGGATATCATGGCACAAAGCACATCGATTCAGAGAATCCAGCGGCTGATAGATTCTGTACCGCTCACTAATTTGTTGCTGACTTTGCTCTCTACTTCCTACAGAAAGGTAGGGACTGGCATTCTGCTCCAGAAATTCTGGAGCTGAACTGCTCTAATGACGTGTCAGCTGCAGGAAAAATTCTCTCATTGCAAACTATGAATATGTTGCATTGAATTTAGAATCAAGCTGTCAGCTGGGGTCTCTCTCTTCTAGGAGGCTGTAGATTTGATAAACCTGTTCTAAAACATTTTTTCGTAAGCTCAGCAATATTTGTGAATTTAGGTAGAAGATGAAAAGGCTTTATTCAACACAGAGGCTTTCGATTTGAAATGTTGCTTACAATGCTTGATATAGATTACTTGTTTTCAACTATTCTATATATCTTGATACATATTAAGAGGAAGGAGCCTTGAAAAAATGTTAATAATTGAGCAGAATTTCACTAGAAGAAAATTAAAACTGCATTAGGAAGATAGACATATTTTCAAAATTGTGTCCTTTATATTCCTAAAATTTCGCTTGTTCTGTTTTTCTTTTAAGGCTTGTGTCCTGCAGCGTCAGAGGAAAGGCTCCATGAGCAGTGATGCAAGTGCCTCCACTGATTCAAATACCTACTACGAGGATGATTTTAGCAGCACTGAGGAGGACAGCAGCCAAGGTAATAGAGTTTGCAGCAAGCAACTTAGCTCAGGATTTTATGCTTTCAGGCTTAGTGGGAACCTGGCTATTGGGCTTTCGCCTTCATGGGCTGGAATGAAATGGAGTGCAGAAAATGTGAAGCAGTTTGTCAGATCTGTTTGGCAGAAGTAATGCTGAGTATATTCTTTTATGTAAACTGAAGCCAGAGTCTATGGGATTTGGCAGTAATGCTCAG